AAAACCTTTGAAGGTTTAAGATCGATGATAAACCTTTCGAAAAAACCTTTAAGGGTTTTTTAAGGGGTTTAGTTCGCTTACTAAACCCTTTAAGGTTTAGTAAACGACGCTTTTTTTTTAGAGTGTACATGACCTTTCTTTGCAAAGTTATAGAATTTGCAAGAAAAGCCCTAAATTAATTTCTTCTGATTTCATTCGTGTTATCTTATGTTATCTTAAACTTTTCACTATAAAAACGGTTCTTTCATAACTACTTACGAGGAAACATTCCCAGGTGCCCCGCTCCGATTGTTCATACATCATTCGATAGGGGGTCTCGAGTAGGTAAAAAGCCTAAAAAGATATCGACCGATGGCTCTTTAAGACTCGGTTTTCTGGAAAATCAGTTTCTCAGAAACCCTAACAGAATAACCAAAACCTTTGTTAATGAGGCATGGTTGTAGCCCGCGAAGTTAAAAAGAAGACAGTAGAGCTAGATTAATTAATAGAAAATACGAAAGCTTTTTTAGCTCAATTCAATCGCTGGAACTTGCTCAAATATGTCGAACTATTTCAAAATCTTAATAGAAGTCTTTTCAAATTGAAGAAAATCTAAAGACATATCAGATATGAAGCATTTCATCCTACATTTCCAATTTCAAGCTTCATTACCTATTATAAATTTAGGTATAGTTTAATAATCCTCCTGAGCCCTTTCTTGTTCTGCCTAGTTTCATAGGAGAGCGTTTAGTGAAAAATACTCGAGTGCTTCGAATGCACATGCATCAGTAATCAAATAGAGGAAAAGTAGAAATAATTAAAAATATTGTGCGAGTACTATGCTTTCTAATTTGAAGTGCAACATTTAATCCATCACTGATTTGAGAAGGAGTTTTAAGTGCTATAACGTGTGTTCGTGTACCAGCTGTAAGATAATTAAAGAAAAGAGTTTTTCCAGCAGCACACTGAAATTGATGCATATATATCAAGCATGAGTTTTTGAAGAAAATTAGTTAATCAGAGCAGAAGATGATTTGGTTTTAATAACATGCACGTATGGTAAACTCGGCATGAATTTCTATTTTCTAGATAATCAACTCCGGTATTTACATGCTTGATTAACGAAACATTGATTGGCGAAAAAAACGGCGGTTGTATGATTTCTCCTCATGCCAATTTTTCTGTGAAATTCAGTTAAACGAATTTTGTTTAGTTGCTCATAGGATGGATACAGCACGTGCAAGTGTTTATGGTAGAAATTTCTATTCAAACGGTGTTCATCAAATATTGATCAAAGTAGAAAAAATAAAGATAATGACTGGACTTCCATTGCCATCGTATCATCATCTATGCCACTAAGAGCAGATGCTTCTTGCGTTTGTGTTTATGCAAACAGGTAACGATAAATTCCTTTCTCTAGTCTTCGTCATTTTAAATACTCTTTCTTGTCCATGAACACTACCGTCGGCTTGCAGTCGAGGTCGTATTAGTTTGATAATGGGAATAGCGATCAGTTTAAATAGAAGAAAAATTAGTCCGAATATTTCGAGACAGACAATTGTAAACAGAATATTATGAAAGATGATTTCCGCTTGCCTAGCAATGGGCTCTTGAATATTTTTAATGTAGAATTGGGTTTCGCTCAGCTGTACAATGAGACTGGTCTGCGCAGGCAAATAGCGCAGGTAGTCGCCTTGCTGACTATAATAAAGTTCGTCGGTAATTGTCGTTTGGATATTGAATGTCGGGATCCATAAACCACTGAATTGATCCTCATCTACTGCAGATAGGCCTACTGTTTTATTGATCACTTTAGTCAGTTTCAGTTCAATTGTAGATAGTTTAGCAAATGCTGATCGATCGTCGATATTCTCAAAAAACTGGCAAAAATCCAGCTGTTGAACAGAAACATTTTCTTCGTTGCTCGTAGATGGAGGACCGGACAAACAAATGCTGACACCGCCAATTGAATAGGGACCGGTCAAATTGAATTGAGTTTCCATCTGATGTAATGGCAAATTGATCGAGACTGCCAGTGTTATATGTTCATCATTACAGTGTGATGGATAAAGTACAATTTGATTCGAGCCGATATTTTGTACAATCGAAACATTTGAACATTTGAATAGCGTATTCACAAAATCAATTCTCAGTGTAAATTGCTGACTGTCTAACATTCGATATATGGGCACTTCTTTGTCTGATTTTGGTTGTGACAGCAATTGTAGGCCGCTGGTAAATTTTGCATTACGCATTGTTGGATCACACGAAAACTTAGCATCGCCCACACTCTCAATCGGATATTGTTTCAAATACGCGCTGCTGAACCAGTAGGCAAATGAAACGAGAACAACAATGGCAAACGACATCAGGCCGCCTATCCACAATTCACCTTCGCCGATAAGATCGGTTTGTTTGAATATTTTCTTGATTAAAGCTACCTGTTTCTCATGTCGTTCATGATAAAAACAATTTATTATGCCCATAATGAGAAGAATAAGTATGGACAATGAGATCATTAACAATGTCCAGAATAACGGTGAAACAAGCAAACAACGAACACTGGACGTTTTAATAGTGAACATGGTCTGTATTAGAATGTCATCGAAGATGGTTGCATCAGGCGATTCTGGATAAGCCATCGATTGAGTGTAGCGTTGAATCGTCGAATAGTCGATGTCATCGACAGCGCCTCTTGGACAAAATGATGACGAATTACAGGGAATACAACTGATACATGGAGTACTACCACCGCTGGGATTTTTTGTGCCTGGTAAACATTGACTACACGGTCCTACGCTTGTTGTATTCTTATACGTGCCACTTATGCATGGTTCTGGTGTATAGATATAAAATATACCTGCAAATTGACTGAATTTAGTCGAAGAATAACCTGGTTGACTGGCTAGAATACAGGCGACGCCCTGATCAGTTAGAATTGCCATATTTGATGACCATGATAAGAGCGAGAGAAACAATAGTGGTTTATTTAACAGTGATATTGCCTGTTGGTTATTTGGAAAAACGAATATTGGTTGGGACGATGACTGAATATTGTAAACCTGTATTTGCGACAGTGACCACGGATAAACAGGGAGTGAATAGCACAGAAATGCAGCTGTCTGATTATCGAGCCAAGCAACATACTTGCCAAACAGGATATTGTCGCCTGATTGCGACCAAAAGGTGCTTATCCATTTAAAACTGCTACGTGTGCCATTGTCCGTAGACAATAGTAGAACAAGGTCGAATTTCGGAATGCCAATAAGAATCTGTCCATCATCACCGATGTCAATTGACATGCCATATGCCGGTGAATAGGTCGACACTGTCGGCCAGTTCAGGAAAACGTACTCGACCAGTGTGATGTTACTGACAACTGTCATCCACTGCGTCGCTGATGAGTTCAGAAAAATGAGATAGGCGACGGGACAATAAGACAGGAAATCAGGGAAATAAACATAGCCGGCTACAACAGCAAAACCATTATCGATGCTGCTCAAACCACATGCATGCGGTACCATCGACGGTACTAAAGGGGACAACAGTCGCAGTTGATAGGTTTGAAGATCGTAGACAAAGCTGAAGTCAGTCGAAAATCCATAAGCAAACAAACCGGCTGCATCAACATCAACCAAATAGTATTCCTGATGCGAATAGTTCGATAACAATTTCAAATCTGAATAAGTGATCTGACATGAGCCTGCCACTACATTAACTCGAACGGTGCCGACAAAGGGACACTGACATAAACTGTCCTCTCCCCATTGAACAAACTGAGACGACTGACTTCCTGCTGTGTTGATACTATACACGTAATATGAGCTGCTGTTGTATACAAATACACAAGTTTGCGAAGACGAATCGTTGTACGGTGGAAATTTAACTGAAAAAAATGAATAATCATTGTGGACTAGAACCATAAAATGGTCATTGACTGCCAGTTTCGTGCCATAGGCTTCGGAGTCAGTTCGTGGCAATAGCTGCTGCTGACTGTTGGCGGTGATACCGATCAGTAGAATGAAATATAATAAAAGGAGCATGGTGAGCTCGACAAGAAAATGAATTTTGTCACGTTCAAAGCGAATTCATATTTAAATCTCCGAAGAAAGAGAACACTAATAAATAAGAATGTTGGAATTAGCTATGATCATTCTCTAAGATTTTCCAAAGATGATAACTAAGTTTCAGTCCGCGGTAGTAATCATTTTCTTAGATGATACTGTTTTTGACAGCAGCTGAAAAATACACAAAAGTCAATCGTTGTACAGCACAGTATGCATTTTTCTATAGAGCAGACGGACATATGCTGTAGAAGCGGTACGAAAGTCTATAAACACGTTTTTCTGTAGGTTTTCGAATATGCTCTTTATAATGAAGAGAGAGTTCTAGAAAAAAAAAATTACGAATCGATAAAGTGAACGCTCTAGTTTCACATTACGTATTATTTGCAAATCATATATACCTTTCGCTTCGTGCAGGACGAACTCGTTTTTCATATAACCGTGATTTTTCAGCTAAATTTTGGAAGTGCGATTTAGGAAAAATATAGCAGATGGAATAAAAAATTTTCTGCTATCAGATAGAGCTCGTCTTGAACTGTATTGCTCACTATTTCAATCATTTAAAACTTGTTTTCTAATTTTTCGCCAAATGTCCGCCTGGACTGTGAGGCTGTCTAACATTTATAAAATAGAGCAGCCAATTTTCTTTCGAATCAGACATCTTCGAGCTTTTCACCACCTATGATTGTTGCAAAATTGCAGTTTATTAATCTAGCACGATGTAGAAGCGTATTGTAGTCCCCCAGTTCTGTAATGTCAATCACTTTGCCGAAAATCGTCCAATAAAGCTCAAAGACGTCTCATGTGAAAGGGAATTGGCTGCTCTATCTTATGGCTTTAGTTTTTCTTCAATTTGAAAAGACTTCTATTAATTAGTCTAGCTGTACTGTCTGCTTTTTAAAAGCTCGAGATGTAGGCCTATCTATCTCACTGCGGGCTACGATCTGAGCACAGTGGAGCTTTGTCGGCTTTAAGTCGTGTAAAAAGTGATCGGATCTGTGTGGAAACACCCTTACAGTATTTTACGGTTTTCAACTTGTTACTCTGGTCTGATGGAGAAATTTTATCTTTTCTTTGTAGGAATCGGTATAGAACCACCAGAACTGGGAAGAGCAGATCTGTGATTTCTACTATTCATTTCAATAAAGAAGAGACTCCATTCTTATTGTAATAACTTTTGATGAACAGAGCTACAGACCATGAACAACAACTCAACGAAGTAGAAAAAAACGAAAACGTTCGCATATAATAGAAGATAATGATGACGCCGGTGAAAATGCACAAATAACGACAACTACAAGCAACACACAATGCAGTCAATTAGCAAAAATTGTTCGTGCAATAAATAAAAAGAAGAAAGATCAGTGATAATTGACAGTGAATGTGAATGATATTCATTAACCCTTTCCCACGGATCGCGTAGTAGAACGTACCGCGCTCGCAGTTTGTCTCCCGCGTTCGCGTAGTAAAACGTACTTGATTTTCTCTAATTTTGTTTTCTGTAATCATAAAATATCGACAATCGAATAAGTGAAATTTCCACTTATTGCGTAGCTTTAAGCTACGCATTTTTGCCCATTTGTTAAAAGAAATCTCCTGATTTCCAAGATTGTGTACCTGATTTTTATCCGTAGGAAAGGGTTAATGTTGCTGCCATAAATAAACTCGTTCGGTTTAAAAAAATATTAAATTATTTTTTCCGTTGAAACTTCTTTTTACTACTCATGTGCAAACTTTCATGTGACAGATAAAACAGTGTACATATTACTCTTGTTTTGTCTAAATAAACTGTGCTTCTTATTTACTCGCCAATGATTATTATATTTGTATGTCTGTGAAATTTTTTTGTTGGTGATTAATTTACATTATTTGGTTTTTGTTGTTAAAAAGAAGACAGTAGAGCTAGATTAATTAATAGAAAATACGAAAGCTGTTTTAGCTCAATTCAATCGCTGGAACTTGCTCAAATATGTCGAACTATTTCAAAATCTTAATAGAAGTCTTTTCAAATTGAAGAAAATCTAAAGACATGTCAGATATGAAGCATTTCATCCTACATTTCCAATTTCAAGCTTCATTACCTATTATAAATTTAGGTATAATTTAATAACCGTCCTGAGCCCTTTCTTGTTCTGCCTAGTTTCATAGGAGAGCGTTTAGTGTCTTTGCTCCTTTTTACAACTTCTCTATAGAACACAACACATACATGGAAACTGAATTTAGTCAAAAAAGTGTTAAGATAAACGATAACCTCTTCATTGTACTTTCTTTAGAATCGTGTATAATGACAGCAGTTAAAAATTGTTTACCGTCAGACATCGTTGGAATATTTGTCGAAAGAAAAGCGGAAGTGCAGAGTTTACGTGTTTTGTGTCGGAAAAAATCGCTTAAATAGAAAGTTAAAAACCAGTTTTTTATTTTCTCTTCAAGAAAATAAAACAAGTCATGCAGTGATTTTGAAAAGGAATGCGTAAATTAAAAAAAATATTTAGCAAGAATAATGAAAAACTTTTCGATAGTTTCACTTTACAGTACTATAATGGAATATATTCCGCTTGTATTCTGATAGAATAAAGCTTATATTAACGAAAAACAACTGTGTTAAGCAAGTCGTGGTGGAAACTCATTAGATCTCTTTTAACGGTCAGGCTCAAGTATAACGGTTTTGAAAGGTTCTACAGAAGTTGATTGTTGTGATGAAAATAGAAAAGCTAACGTATTATGGCATTGAACACTTTGTTAACATTTTTATTGTGACTAATGTTGACTATAACAGATTTATTCCTCCTAACGCTATCTTCAAACGCTTCCACTCTTTGCTTATGTACAGTATCTTTACATGAAGTTGAACACTGCTGAAGCAGAATAAATGCAAAAAAGGCGACTAGCGAGGGGTTAATATTCGAAACTTTCCGTGAAGTTGGGCCAGCTGTAGGTGACGATTTTATTCATATTTGTAATTTTTCGTTATCAAATGATGTTTTTCCGGAGAGGTGAGGCAGAAATTGGAAATTATACGGCCCCGTATTCAAGACGGAGATAATACTCAGCCAACAAATTATAGACCAATTATCTTCTTTCCTACAATTAGGGGTGACAGTTTACTTTTAGTTTTTAATTAGTTCACCAGGTAAAATAAATTATTTATTTACTTTTCTCACATTAAAAAGTAATTAGCATCCACTATTTACTTTAAAAAAAGGTAAATTATGTTTTCATTTACCTTTTTAAAAAATAAATAGTAAATTCTTATTTACTTTTCTCTGCTAAAGCAAATAAAAATTAAATGTCATGTTTCAATAGAAAATGGTTCTCATTTATAGGGATCCTAAGCGTTATAATTAAAATATGTTCTATTATTAGGTGAGGCTTTCGTCAAGTAGAAATATATTGGGCAGATTAATATGCCAAATTATACTTGAAATCCTGCGATTTACTATACGGCCAGTCCACGTAAGAGTAGACTTCTATGCCGAAATTAAAGTGCAAATTCTCCTACAAGCTACACTTCTATGTTATAAAGGATAGTGAATAACGTCTAGAAATGCAATTTTATCTTCGTTTTGCGTTCATTTTGTAGAGGAAAAGGATTCCAAACAGATGGCGCCTTGAACCGTAAACGAACAGTACATCCATGAGTTTTTTACTTTTTATCCGGCACGAAAGTTAGTTGTTGCTTCGTTCCATTTGTGGCTCAGACCGCTAGTAGAACAAATAAACTTATTTTTTCAGTAAAAGAAATTAGCCTCTGTGCTTAAATGACCCAGTCATCTGAATTTGTAAACGTGATATTTTGAACACGTGATTACATCACTAAATTTCTCTACAGTTTTACTTTTGTCATACTTCTGATCTCTAAGGAAGATCAAGTCAAAATCACCTTTCTAGAAAGAGCTTTTCGCGCTCTATCTAATAATCTATTTCTTTTAAAATTCAAGTTCTTCTTTATTGTTGTATGACTTGTCTAGCACTTGAGAGTTTGGCGCCAGATTTTTTGATAGTAAAACAATCTGCACTTTTCTCTCTACTTTACGTTTGGCAGTTAGAAGTTTTACTGCCAGAATTTTCGAATGCCTAGAAAATTGCTGTTTTTTGCTAAGTTTAATCCGGCAATTTTTGTTTGAAATAATAAGTCTAGAATCTCAGTAGATGAGTTCATTTTCTGCTGACTACAGATTCCAAATCAATACACCTGATAAAAAAAAGTTGGTTTTTAGTTTTGAAGAACTGCTAAAATTTTGCTTTCACCTAAGTTTTTCACAACGCCCTGGGAGAAGAAGTAGGAAGATTTACATAAAACTTAAAGTTGCACTAGCAGTTATTACTGTCATTTTTACGAAAATGGGTTTGGGAATTAGATGCAGCTTTTTCTGGTCTAACGTTCGACACTCCAGCTGTTATTACTAGACACTCTACGTCCCAAAAGCTATTCAGAATCCACATTCCAATCTATCTAAGTACATCAGGTCGCCAAAAAACCAAAAGACGCACAGGAAATGATTTTATTAGTCTGCACATAATCGCCTAGCGTAAAATGAAAGCGTTCACATTTTCTAGCCGACTAACACACTGCGTTCTGCAATTTTTTTTGTAACATAAAGGCGTTTTTCCTACCAATAGTGCTAAGACAGATAGATGATGTATGATTTTTTTATTTTGCAAATCCTTTTTGTCTTCCAATTCTCTTTCTAAACACAGTCCGTGCGTTTGTTACTAAATGTCAATTGATTCACCTGAGCATAGTATTTACTATACAGAACAGAAGCAATTATTTCTTCTGTGCGATTACTCACTGACATCGTGTGGTGATCGTTGCATATACAAATGGCAACAGAAAGGTGCATACATGTCTAATGCAGAACGACAGAAACGAAAAAAAATCGAATGCTGGGAGAAAACAGTTTTTCCCACTGACGAAACATTACATACCTGTCAAGAGTATATTATAGCGTCATTTCACGCTTTCATCTCGTAATAATAAGACATCAGCGAAGCAGAATTGTTTTAAATAAGCGAATACAGTATGTATGTAACATTTATCTAACTATCGATGAATATCATAATACTAGAGAGATTTGTCGGTGCGTCTATTGTTGCACAAAAGGTGCCGTCTATACTGAAAGTCAGCATCTAGTGACTATCAATCGAACTTATTTAGAAAATTACGCAAATTTTTGATACGAAACGGTCGAATTTTTTAAAGTGAGAGTTAACAAGCAAAATATAAATGAGTTTTTGAAGTCATGAGCACAGGCCAAGTTGTTGGACTAAGTGTACAACGATATTATTAATTAGGCCTTTCTTGAAGAATGTATACGGTTTGTGATAATTAGCATTTTTCATCCTGAAGAAACCATCTGGTAAATTTGACTCTGTTGTAAAAATCCAAAAATTAAATTTTGCAAACTTTATCTGCTTGCATCAACTTCATACGATGTCATCTTCCCTGAATGATAGTTGAATTTGCTAAAATTCATGGTTTTCGCTTTATTAATGGTGATTAGAACAGATAAAAATTGGACTTCCATCGATAAATAACATCGAATATATTTCTGTTTTTTTTCTATCTATTAAAAAAGAGAACAGAACGAAACGTTTTCTTGCAATTTGTATATTTCATGCAGACGAAAACACTTATCGTTCGTTGATCGCCAGTTTATTGAGTCTACAAGAAACGTATTCTCGGCAGGTAATCGAAAAAATAGATTTTTCTGGTAACAGCATAGTTTCTTGCCTCAAGAGACACCCAGGAAAATCTACATGTTAATTCTTGTCCAAGAAATGCACAAGAAAGCCCAAGAATCATTTCTTGGTCAAGAAATGCTTCAAGATCTTGCTTTCTAGGCTTCAAGAATTTCCACTGGGGATATGTAGGCATGATGTAGTTAATGTAAGTCTGCAATATACCTCTGTGAACTAAACCTCCAAATATAGTCCTCGCTTATGCATCATTTTCTGACTGTCGTTAGCGATACCAACCAGTTTTCTTTTTGCGTTGGGAAAAAAGAGAGGAAGATTAAAAAATTTTTCTTTTCTTCTGTCTTTAAACAGAAAACATCAGATTCATGATCTCTGCCATTAATATTTAGTAGAGACAATTAAAACAATCTTTTCTTTCTTATATTAAACCAATTTTACGTGTATTTATGCACTTCAATTGAGTCTTTTCATTAGCCAGTGCGGGGTTTATGTCCCGCGGGTAGATGGCTAGTCTAAGAACGCGACGAGTGGCTACAGGCAGCCCAGGGGCGCCCCAACCGCTGCAAGCAGCGGTAGGATCCTATGGATATTTCGAGAAATATGCCCAGCAGGCACGTACATTAGTGGATTATCAAAAGGGTGGACATGAACGATCTGGCGAAATGATCGGTACTACTGAAGCTAGATCCGCTTGTGACCTGCAGGTGGTGCTTTGGCAATAGGCCTTAACATCCAATGCACTACGATGGACAGTAGGAAACAAATCAAATGAACACTATCGCATTCCACAGAATGTACCCTAAACATCTTTTTTTCTTCTGCTATTACTGTAGTTTGTTGACCCTCACCCTACACCAATAGGTAAGGGTATATTCTTCTTCTTTCTTATATTAAATAAAATCGCTCTATTGGCGTGTATATCTGGAAGTATCGAGAAGACAAAAAATACAGGTATCCTCTTTTCCTTCTCTTCTCAAACGAGATTTCATTTTTCACATTTATATATACAAACTAACTGTGTAGTGATATTATATTCTCATGTATCCTTCTATCTGTTTTCAGATAATCCCTTTATTTCATATTTATTTCCTTAAATCATAACCAGATTTTCAATTAATCAAGTGTAATTATTCGTCGACAAAGATGACTGATCAGTCTTCAGATATATTGTATGATTTCGTGGTTCAATTCGACCAAGGTATGACTAAATGTAAAACCCAGTGCACGAATACGTTAACATTTACCAACTGGGAATTTAATTATTGTTTTTCGCTTTTAGAGTTGGACATATCCGTCGAGCTCAATACGCCTGTCATACCCATAATAAATCCGTTGTCGCTCGATATGCCTCAAAGCTCAACCGGTAGGTAACATTATAAGTAATCGATAATAAATTCCCTGTTGTTTTCAATTATTTTAGTTATACCATTGGGACAAGAGCCAGGTTTGCTAATCGCTCTGCGGTTCAATTACTGAAATTTATAGTTGTCTTTTTCAGATCTTGTTGATGCGTTTTGGGACGAACTCTTATCGAAAGAGAAGGAGGATGCGGTGCAGTCTCAGTCACCATTAGATGACGCATCAGCGAGAGAATTTTTTCCAGATAGGACAAGTATGATGACTCGTGCGCTACTTGTCGATGAGGAGCCACTCAACAGCGGCGATACGCAGATTATTGTTCACCAAACTGAACAAGCCGTATGTTCTACTGTAAATACAAAACAAGCCGTATGTCCATTGTAAATTACGATTTATCCGTTATTGTTGTTGTTTCTGTAGGATAGTGGTGATGTGGTACTCCCAGAAACATTCTCAATATCAATGAAAAATGAACCAAATGCAGAAGTTCATGCTCGATATATGAGTGATATGACTTCAAGTGCACGATACTTACTTGGAAGAAAAACGAATGGTGGCAAACATAAAGCATATCCATCCACAACAGTGAGCTTCTACTGTCCTTATTAGCAAAGAAATAAGAATAAAACAAGTTTAACATCAGAAGACAATTTCATTTTCGTTTATTTATAAAACACTGGCACTTTCGATGTCTAAGACATCATCCTCAGTTGAAATAACATAGTGTTTTATAAATAAACGAAAATGAAATTGTCTTCTGCTGTTGAACTTGTTTTATTTTTATTCGAAACCTTACCCATAAACGAAACCAATTAGCAAAAAGAAATATTTGATGTCTGTATAGATGCCAGACTTACGTGAAATATTACTGAATGGTTCGGAACCGTTAATGCGAATTACCCGTTTAACGTCATCGAACATATCACCGGATCTCCAGCATCCGTATCAATTAAAGTCAAATGACTCTAATGTTTTTCTGGCGAATGGATCATTGTACTATCCAATTGAACCTGTAGACATGCAACGTGGTTACAAAAGGTAATAAAACTTTGTAATTTTACGTTGTGATAGCGTTTTTATTTTAAGTTATCAAAAGTTGATCTTAATTCGGAATAAACAAGATAAATTATCCGAGAAACTGGGCGTTTATTCTGCAAACGAGATTGTATTTTCTGGTAAATGCATATATTTGCAGTATTTCATTAGACATATTGTATTTTGTTTAGAGGAGGTAGTATATCAAGGAAGACCAGTAAAGAACATTGTAATCGATATGAATCTGCAAGTATCAAGACTAGCGTTTGATATAGTGCTCAAAACTGCTGATGGTACTCTCATTCCAACTGGCGTTATGTGTATATCAAATGAAATAATCGAAGGTAAGGAACTTCGTTATTTGCGGAAAAGACTACATGTACTAAACTTAATACTGCTTGTACCACCAAAATCAGCAAAAACAAAACGGTCAAATGGTGCTGTTATAGTCAGTGATGGTGATGATGGTGCTGTATGCCCAAACTGTGATTCGTTCGTATCATTATCATCAAGTTCTGGTTCTAACAAAAGACTACGCACTCAATAGTGTACACAAAATTTAAGTCTTCACGAACACAAGCCGATTGTTGCAGGGGCTCATCCGCGAAGTTTTCAAATATTTATCCAGGATATTTCAAAATTTCAGTTCCCTTTTATATATTGTGAACTAAACACATCTCGTTTTATCTAATCATGAATCGCTTGTTTTTTATTTTCATATGTAGTATTGTTGCTGACAAAACACATGTGATCAATCTTTTAGAAGTTTTTCGATAAGAAAAGTTTTGTTTATTAAAAGATGAAACACTCAGATAATAACATTGTTTGCCGTCAAAGTACATGTGCTCGTGAGATCTGATACTATGCTAAAAATTAAAAAAAGACTATTTTTTGATACTCAGAATTGTAGAAATCACCTCATTAATTTCTACTCATCTAAAAGACTGGAACAAAACATACTTTGTTCATTTCTCGCGTTTGGCTTTTATTTCCGACAACTTGGTTTTTTCCTACTTCTTTCTTTTCATGAGTCATTCGCGGAGAAATGATGTTCAGTAATGTGCACAGGCAAGTCAAAAAGGTCTAATACATAAATCTGTATGAAATGTCAAGCTCGACTTGATACAATTTTAATTTGTGAACGAGAGCGACTAGTAAAAGGATTGGTGACCACTTCCCAAGACCGAACCGTAAGTATGGTGCCTTTCACGTTTGTCCCAATGTTTGTTGAGTGCCAGTTACTAGATACAGTTTACGTTAAGGGATGAATCATTTCTGATAGAATAGAAAGAAATACTTAACGAAGAAAAGCAGAATATGTGTAGTGGCATGCGATTTTGTGCTCCATTCTCATCGTGTGAAAATTATCGTTCTTTGTTCGATGAGAATAAGGAATAGTAACATTCTCACACGATGTGAACTGACAAGGGAACCGCCCCAGAGGTTCCGGAGTCTTTTCGTCGAAACGCACATAGACATAGGTTATCGCTGATGCTGATTTCGGATGTCATAGTTGGAGCAGCATACGAGCCCTCGCAGACTCGGTTTTCTAAAAAAAACAGTTTTTCAGAACCTCTAAAAATTAACCAAAACCTTTCTTAATAAGGCTTATTATGGCCCACAAATTTCTGATTAAAATGAGACATTCTCCAGTTCTACACGACCTTTGGAAAGTTATAGAATTTACACGAAAAGCCCTAAATGTTCAATGTCAGCTCAAAGCTACAGAAATAAGAAGAAATTAATTTAGGGCTTTTCGCGTAAATTCTATAACTTTGCAAACAAAGGTCATGTAAAGCTGGTAGATGTCTCATTTTAATCAGAAATTTGCGGTCTACAATCATGCCTCATTCAAAAAAAGGTTTTGGTTATTTTTTGGAGTTCTTGAAAAAACTGGTTTTCCAGAATACTCCAAGGGTCCATATGCCGTTCCGTCTGTGATATTTGAAATCAGCATTAGCGACAACCTATGGCTATGTGTGTTTCGACGAAAAAGCTCGGAAACACTTGGGGCGGTTCCCTCGTGACTTGTGTTGCTTGTCGTGCCTTAACTCTGTCGTTCTCGAGCAAAACTACCTGATAAGACCCTTGAGAAAGACTGAAATCGATTGTGGTATCTTCTTCTGATTTTTTCACAAATAAATTCTGTTTCGAGTCTCTAGTAACCAGCTGATAAGCGGCTGTAAAGCTAAACTAAATTAAAATTCATATATAAACTGAAAGGCAGACAAAGAAAAATACGAAAAGATCTTCACTTTCTTTTCTTTTGCCATGCGAATAGTTCTATTTTACGCCAGAATTTCCCGTTATACAAGAACTTTACTTGATTAATAACTGTGTACAATAGCCTGGAATGGGCATAATAATAAATATCTCAAAATATAGTACAATGGACTTTACGAAGCTGCAAAATACAAATTGTTGTTATCTAGTTCTCTTGTTTATTATAAAATTGAGAAAACGTAACAAATGGAGAATTTAATATGACTAGTAAAAAACGATAAGAGAAGCCCAATGAACAAGATAAAAATAGTCATGTTTCTTGAGAAAACATACACGATTAAACGACATGACATTGTTTCAATCTCAACAGAGACTCAGGGGTTGTTCTTTCAGCAGCATACCAAGTTTACATTGACTTTATCTGAACAGTTCGAGAGGAACAGGCCCAGCACAACTCGAGCTCTGGATGACGAATATCACGTTTAAAGAAATTTAAAATAACGTACGGCGGTCTTCTAGATCTATGAGGATCCCACTTCCCAGCAGAACAGACCTTTTCTGAGCATTTCGTCACTTTGTAGAGAAACGTATTCATGAGCTGGTAGCGTCAGATTAGAATGCAGAGCTGCAAAATTCCTAACTGCCCGAAGGGTCTAAAATGTAAAGCACGTTCTCAGGAAAACTTTTTAATTAATCGCTTTTTCAGAAACATAGGCCTTTTTTGTAAATCATATTTTCCCCATAAATCATATCAACACAAAACAACAAGATACGCATTCAACGCGTCTTTTCATGCTCTATCCGATGAAGCGGTTCTCATTGAGGTTAAAAAGCCTGGACAAGTTCTTTGTTGAACTTTTGTTATTACCCTGTCATTTTTAATTGACCAAAATAACATGAATTGAATTAAGGTTCGAACTGTTAATTGCGATTTTCGTAGACAATAATCGCCTTTTTTGGTTTTGCATTGCGATCAACAGCGTGCTTTGTTTAGCGGTGGCTAAACGCAAATCACGTGCAGAATGCGATATCAGCAGGCTGTAATCGCAGTTTGTTCGAAGTTGCGATTAATCGAACTATGCGATACACTGCGATCGTAAAATGGAATACGGTTTCTCTATTCGAAACCTTGTTTTCTACTTTAACCGCAGTTCTGTGAAGAAGGCGTTCATTCGGAATCTGAATTTCTAACACGAAACGTGCGGTTTCTAATAATCACGGTTCATCGCAGTTACCGAAACATCTATAGCTGCCCGCAGTTTACGTACTAAGCGCAGTTTTTCTGTGCAAAATTCCGTATATCAGAAAGAAAATTCAGCAGAAATTTTAGCTGTTTTTATTTGCTTCAAATATTTATTACTTTGTGGCAAAGATTTCTTTTACGAACCACTGTAGTTAGTTTCACCAGAATTAAAAATGCATGACACACTCAGATGCTCATATACAATCACTCAGCTAATGACTGCACGATTGGAACAGATCAGGGTTTGCAGCTAAACGCATAAGCATAAAAGATGCGTGAACGTCACTCAGAACAAGATGTGATTTTAAAGAAGAGGAAAGGAGGTGGACCGTTTTGTGATGAAATCAGCCCGTTAACTCAAAAATTACTTCTTGTGTTAACGTTTTGAAAGTAAGAAAAACTGAATTAATCATTTTGTAGTTCTGACCTCGCTTCAGATTTTTTCACATCAAAAGCCACAGCGAAATAACAGTTTTCTATCGGTTGTCGTGCATTTTTTCATTAATTTTTTAAATTTCGGTTATAGTAGTGCTTTCAGTAAAAGCCCCATAATCCATCAAAATAAAAGCTTTTTCGGTCGGGTTTGCTTGTTTTGATCAGAAACGATCGTTCTTCTCTATCTAACTGCAAAATAAAAACTTCAATCGTCTTTTCCGTTTCTTGATTGAGCACATTGTTGGAAACGGGGAGGTTGTCAATTTCTGATGTATTTTTGTAACTTTGTTCTCGAGGTTGATAGGTGCTTGTGTCCTTTGATTGAATTCTCACCGTTCAACAGCTACGTGGAATAGCTAAGTACAGCTTTTTCAAACTTCCACCCGCATTCAAGTCAATCTCAACAGAAGAAAATTTGTTTTTTCTAAACGGGATATTGAGGCGAATGTCCCATATAGTTAGCCTCTGCTAATACGCAATCATCAGCATTATTGCCTCCAGTCCTCCACACAATGTGCATCTAGGCGGACATTAGGTAAAAGAGCGAAAGTCGACTTTTCATTTATTTAAACAGTGCTAAATATACTTCAAGACATGTTCTATCTGACGGCATAAAAATTTTTGTTACTACACAAAGCTTTTTGTTTTTTTTAAAAAGAATCTGTCCGGAAACTTTTTGAACGCCCTACGTATCACGATGGAAAATACAATACAGAAGTATTAACAATGTTTTCTAGCAGCCTATATAAAAATACAATTTTGAGTCGTCATAAAATTAGTAAGAGTAATATTGATGGTTAAAATGTTTTAATTATCAATAAAACTGAAATGAGATATATCTGTTTTTATTATGAAAACATTTCATCACATTTTCATCTGCTTTTACTTGATGGTATAAAATGGTGAAGCCGGTTGGAATTGTCCAACATGTACATGCAAAAATTCTAGCAATATTGATACATGTGAGACATATCGACAAGATATGCGTGTTCAAGCAGAAAAATTAAAACCGAACAATGACATTCCAAAGCCTGTCCGAGAGGAACCAATAATTAAACTTACATGTAATACTCCCTTTTGCAATACGCAAGATCCATCAATCGATATTCTTTGTGACAAATGTATTTCTGCACTGTGGGTAGCACCATTCAGTTTGAAATTCCAGACAGTCCTCAAAAAGCAACACAGACTAATCCCTTAGTTCCACCTTATCGATCGCCTAATACAACTAACTCAATACCGATAGAAATTGATCAAACACAGCCGTATGAAACAGAATGGCGTTGTGAATATTGCGATTATTCAGATAATTTAAGTAGCAATGAGCGATGTATCT